GAATGATCAGTTGTTCAATTTGTTTCAGTCTCTGATATGCATTCAAAAGTTCAGTGCGCATTCATTCATTGCTAAATACAAGTAACGCGACTCAAACGTCGCTAACCCTCTACTGAAAGGTTCTATGCCGTTGTGCATATTGTGTGTGAACACACGAGCTACGGACCTGCTATTCTCATATATACTTAAAGGAACAAAGGGTGTGAGTGTGAATACGAATGTACGTCTGGTCGAGCTGAAGACTCACCCACAGTCCGACCCACACCCTAAGCCAAAGATTATGTTTCAAAAAATAAGCATTATAGTCGTCACTGTCTTGAATTCTCGTCAAGAACAATTGCTTTTCCAAATATTTTAGGAATATTATTTTGATCAAAATTTAATAAAAACTAAAAATAATATTCAATCAATAATAAAATGTATTTTTTCTCATAAGGATTTTCCTTATATCAATTGATACTATAACTTTTTTCTGACAAATTCTTGGAATTATAATTTATTCCCTAGAAGGAAAAAATTCTTTTAAAAATTTACTTTTTTTTATAAAAAGCGATAAACAACTTGACGATAACGTTCTTGAAGTAGGTTGTATCCTATAAACTAAAGAATATCTTTTAAATTTTGATCAATGTTCAAAAATACACCGCCATCTGCTAATATGTCAAGTAATTCACCAAAAACAAAGATTTGTAGTTTTATTGTAATAAATATACTGTAAAAAAAGACACTCAAAATTGATGTTTTTTTACAAATATCTAATTTAAAAAATTGTTTTATTTTCTCAGGAATCCAAACTTAACTTTCCCAGTGATTTTCTTTTTCTTTTAGATTTTTTTAAAATCTTGTCAAGTCATATTCTTTATACATCCATGTAAGTAATATTCAACTTGATCTATAAAAACAAATATCTAAATTATATTCAATTATTTCAGATAAAGGATTAAATAGAACTGATGGTAAATTATTTATTCCAAAAAAAGTATCATACCTAAATTGATTAAATATCGATTTTATAGTATTTTTGGCATAATTAACAAAATCATAGGTATTATTAGAAATTTATCTTTTTTCTAAATTCTGTCCCAGCTGTTCTCTTTTTATGTTTAATACGTAAGATTTTACATTAATGGGCATACGACCATATTACACATGCGCACCTTTAGTAATACTTTCTATTTGTTTTGCATTTCTTCCATTTTTGTGAATTAGCCCACTTTTATCATAAAATCTTATGTTCTCAAGAATAATATTTCGAATTCTAATAGATCTTAAATTTATTCCATCGTTAATCTAAAACCCATTATCTTCAAAATAACTAACCTGTTCATTAGAATTTTCAGTTTTGACAAGTACGACTATATTTTCAAGAATTTCTGGTAAACTATTTTGTTGAATATACAATCTTAAATATAGATTGCAAATTGAATCTCAAAGATATTTTACTTCTTTTACAATATTCATCTTATCAGTTATTATTTGTTGTTCTTAACTAAATTGTTGGTATATGCAATATGATAATAAAGTTTAGCAACTATATTTTTATCGCTTAATACTTGTCCATTTCCTAAACAATCTCGAAATTAATGGCAAACGTTCATTTATTTTTCCTGATAATATTATAGCTTGCTGTTTTATTGCAGCAGGTCGTATTTCTTCTTGACTCATGAACTGATCATATTTTTCTAAAAATTTATTCTAAAAAATTTATTATAATTTATTTTTCTTTTATATTTCTCGTATTATTTATTACGTATTTCAAAATCTTTTCTTTTTCTTGTCATAATTTCTTAACACCACTCGGATATAATTATTGCAACTTAATAATAAATTAAAATATTGTACTGAGGTTTCGAATTTCAATATACATGAATATTTCACAAGTGAATATAAAGCATATAATATGAGTGATTCAGACAATCGAATATATTCCAAATCGTTATCACTGTTTATAAAAAGAAACGGTATTTTCTTTCCTTCATCTGTGGAAAACATCGCTTCTGTTTTTGCTTTCGTTATTTATATGATTCTTTTATTAGCAAGACGCATTATTGTATATATTAAGAGAGAAAGATTAAATTAAGCGATACTAATAGAAAAAGAAAGAGACTTTAATTTATAGAAAAACCATCATTAAGTCCTAACTTTAATCTTGTTAATATTAAAAGTAAAGAAGTAGAAAATAAATCTTCCCTTCCAGATATAAGATCTATTAAAGTATATCATTAAAATGATGATCAATATAGTAGTAGTGTTGAAAATGATATTGTTGATATAGTATACTTACCTGAAATTTTAATGCGTAAAAGTAAAGAAGATCAATTTTATTAACATCTTTTATCGATCGGTAATAAAATTTAGCAATATTATTATGGATATCATTGTGACGGATATCATCTATCATCATTCCTTATGCTCGTGATCGAGACGCTTGTTAGGCGCATAGATAATTCTTTCTTTTTGCGTTATCTCTTTCTTGTTCTCTTTCTCGCTTGTTCTTTTTTCTTCGCTTGTTTTGCTGCTCATGTGCATGCGTTAGTTGATCATTCTCAGAATAAAATAAGAATGAGTCAGTCGTTCCGTTACAATCATATTTTGGACAAAGTGGCGATAGAATTACTGATACATTATTTGGTTTATCTGTTCCAAATGGTTGTTAACCATTTAGAATACCAATGAATACAAATCAAATGTTACCAATCGATGATTATTCAATGAATAAATCATCAGGTAGAATATATCGTTATTTAAATTATAATAAAGCACCACCATTATTTCTATTTAGTAATGGTTTATCTTATTCAAAATTAATAATTTTTCCTAATCAAATAAGTAATGTTGATACTGATATTATAGCAAATATCAGTATCATAAATGAAGGGCCATTTCCTGCACAATTTATTATACAATTATATTATGAATTTTCAAATTCAACAGTAATTGAATTACTGATGCGTGAATTATTAAAATTTACTAAAATAATATTTTTGAAAAAAATTAACAAAAAACTATTTCATTTACCTTTCGTATTAGAAATATTCCAAATTCAAATCGACAACAATTACCAGGTATTATTATTTTTTTTTTGGATTAGTAATAGTTGTCATAGATATGCACAAACAACACTTATTATTGATTTTGATTCATAATTTATTTTTTCATAAAATATAACTAATTGTCTAATCAATAATTTTTCTATTAATATTTTTTGTCTTATTTGTTTTTTTTTTCTAATATCAAATATCCTGAAAGATAAACGAGAGAAAAGTTTTAACTAATGGATAGTAACACTTCATTTATTTATGGAATGAAGTATAAGTTAATTGTAACTCTAAATAACATTGTTTATATTTATTCAAGAAAGAAGTTTAGATGAAAAAAAAATAAATGATATTCTCGTGCTGGAAGATTTTTATAGTAGTTTATTAGATGATACACATCAATATAATACATATAACTTCAATTGTAGTTATATGAAGTTAATCTATGACGACAAGATTAAATTAATATTGATAAATAGTATTTAAGAGAGGTTCTATGAGACGATCGAGAATTTTTCTACAGAGGCATAACATGATCAAATTTTAAATTCAAGTTTGACTATGTTGATTCCATAGTCCATGTCAAGAAACCTATTCATCCAAAACTTTAGATCAAACAAATGCTGTCTTGTCGAGATATGAAGTTTTTAAAAAACAAGCTTTTTGCGATTTTCCCAAAACTCGGTCGCGCGTATTTCGCTTCTTTCTCGATCATTTTACAATAGATATTTTTGAGCAAAGTCTCATTTGAAAGAGAAAATAAAACTGAACAAGTTGAAGTATTTTTCCTGTCTAAACAATGGCATTTCTAATTTCTATAGTTTAAAAGGCTTCAAAAAATCCCGAGTTGGAAAAGATGAATTTTGAGAGTTTTCAAAAAATTTCCTATAGGAAATTTTGTTGAACTAAAAGTTATATTAGGCTATTTTGTAGAGAATTTATTTCTCTACAATCTATGCATTATTATTTCTATTTTTAAAATATTTGGAAGGTAACCAAAAATTCGAAATGCTATACATGCCTATGGAAAAATTTGTCCAAATTCGACTGTTTGGCCTGAAAAATTCATTTTCCAGGAAAATCTGTTATATTCGGAATTAGTATCAACAACTGGATCGGATAACATGTATTTCAGTAAAAATAATATTTTGTCAAAAATTTACTGCTACTCTACCTCAACTGCGTTTTTGTATGCATTTTGTTGGTGTTCCTTCACATGGAAGTTTTTGACAGAAAATTATTTTCTCTGAAATACATGTTATCCAACCCAATTTTTGATACTGATCCCCAATATGATATGAATTTTCCTGGAAAATGAATTTATCATGGCCAAACAATCGAATTTGGACAAATTTTTCCATATGCATGAAGTATTTTGAATTTTTGGTTACCTTCCAACCTTATAAAAATACAAATAATATGTTACACTCCTAAAAATTTGCAACACTTGACCTTCTCCTTCAAAGAAATTCGCTGTACATATAATATTTGATTTCTAAATTTGAACAGACTTCAAAATCTCAGTTGATTCTAATCAGATGACCTGATCAACCTGAACATAGTCAAATCTAAATGATTATATTTAATGAGAATATTATTTACAACAATAAAGGAAAATAGAGATAATTGTCTTTCGAATGTACCATTGCCATTTTTCGATCACAAATAATATGCTTCAATTTTGCACAATTTAGATGCGTTGTACTTCTTGTAAAATTCTCTGTCACATTTACTAAATGTTCATATGAAATATAAATCTTGTTCAGACAAGGTAAACGTGTATTCGAATCGAATAGAAATTGTTCCACGTAGTCGATATGTACATTGAAACAGTCAAGTTCGACAAGATGAGAAAAGTCAATAATCGAAGACTTTCCTATATGTTTCTCTTTTTGTTCGTTTACATTGGAAACCATCAGACGACTGAGTAATGGAAATGAACGTGAGATTTGAGCAAAAAACTTATGTTCGAATGGGTGAAAATCGTCCTTCATACGCAGAACACGAACATTGATGAACATACCACCAGGAAAACTGTGCGTTATGTGACACATACGTTCCGTATTCAATTCAAGTGAATAAACATGACATCGACCTAATTTATAAAAATCATAGTCGATATAACAATCAACATGATGTCCTCTTTCGGTGAATGTACGTCGAATATCATCAGGTGTTGGCTTAGGTTGTTGTTCATTAATCCTGACATATTCAGTAACAATATCGAAGTGAAATGTATGTAGACGTGGCATTTGACTAAGTATATAATTATTCAAATAAGTACCATCAATGAAGGAATTTTTCCCACCAACACGGAGAGATAAGGTGAGCTTTTCCAGATGTATCATTCGACGAAGGAGAGGTATCACTAGACTATCAAATTCAGTTGTTCTATGATATGCATATATGGAAAAACATTTGAGTCGAAGTGGATTAGTCTATAAAAAAGCAAAACAGAAGTAAGATATTGTTATTTGTTCAATGATAGATTTAATCAATAGATCAAATAGAAAATGATTGCTTTGGAAATATTCTTATACTTTTTGTTTTTTGATGGATGAGCATCAAGGGTTTCGTTTTTATTTTAACACAGCTCAAGAACAAACTGAAGTATTTTGATAGTTATCCGTATTATTTTTTATCTCAGTGATGTAACTAATTTCATAAAGAAATACGATTTTCATTGAATCATCTTAAGAACTGAATGATTTTTTTTTTCAATGAAATAAATGAATAAACCATGACACAACAACTCAAGAATGTATTAGTGAATACGTCATACTAGCATTTCAAAAACAAATTACTGCAAGATTTCTGGATCTTCATTTGTCCGAAATTGATATATTTTTAATAACTGTCTTTAGAGATGATTAATTCAACAGTTCTAGTCGAGACTGAAAAACATTCCTCTCCAATTGAATATAGTTATTTACCATATTATTCATGATTTTCAATGAATGACGTATAATCTTTTGTGAACGTAACCTGATCTGGACTGGATCATGGATACAATAAAGAGTGATAATCAATGTATGTAATTGACTAAGACGACCATCAAGTAAATAAAGACAATCATCAATATTCTGCATTTTGATACGTAAATGAACAATACTAGATGAACAACATGTTGTAGATGGTAAACCAGTTAACAACGATCGGGATAAAGCATAAGTATCACTGCCATCTATATCCAAATATTTGAGATTTGTAACTAACCCAAAAATACGCTTATAAATATCAGTTAATAATTTCATATTTGATTCCTCCAGAATTTCGTCACTAATCGTTACGACTAGATCTGAGATTTGTTGTTTTAAAACATAAATAAATGGAGACTTCTCTAAAAACAGACAATAAATGCAAAGAATTGTTTTAATTCTTCGATATTAATCGATGAACATACCATTGAAAATGTGACAAGCCATACTGAATTCGAGATTAATAATAACAAGCTTGCGTAATTGAAGATAATTGGTAGCACGAAGGACACATGGTAAGAAACATGCTTGAAGAGTAAGCGATTCTACTTTATCATGAATTCGAGGTAATATTTCCATACAAAATCGATCAAGTATTGCATGATTTCTTGAATCAGTCAATTGATTTGATTCAATTGTCATTAGATCGACAAGTCGAGTAAAACTAACATCACATACTACTCGATCGAGTTTTTCATTAATGCCTACCAATGAATATAGAACATCGAAATTATTGAGTTTCTTCAAAATATGAAGCAAAATTTCGTCAGGTAAATCAACAATGTTAACAATTGACTGAATCATGTGTTTGTTCTGCTTCATCATTCTTTAAACAGCTAAATATATATACAGTAAAACCTCTCTATGTGGACACCTCTCTAAAGTGGACACCTCCCTATTGCGGACACTGGCCGGTCCCCCCGAGCTGTTTTTGCTGGAAATGAACCTCTCTAATATGGACACCTCTCTATTCTGGACTGTGAACACTTTATCCCGGTCCCGTCCACAGTAGAGAACCTCTTGAATGTGGACAGTTTCCTAATTTCACGGCATCTTTTTCGGTATTGTCTCAAAATTCGAAAAAGTCTCGAACCCAAACATCTGCGAAAAGTTCACGCACCACAAAATCTATTTTGTATGTCAAAAGTCAAGAGTTTTCTCTTTCTAAATTTGTAGCCTCCATATTTTTCATGTTCTAGATTTTTCTGTTCCAGTCAGACATTGGACCAGTACCAGTACAGTAAGTACCAGTACAAATACT